ATGATTCTCCTAAAAAACAACCCAGGATCCCTGCCCACCTGCGTTCTTTAGTATTACAGCATCCCATGACTTGGGAGCAGCAAATCCCTAGTGGTTTCTCTGCCAGATGCTAAAGGTCCAGTCAGAGTTTTGTATTCCTGGACCTGGTGTCTTTGGAAAGCCCTGGAGGCTACACTAGCGCTTCCCCACGCAGGCAGAGCTGCTCCCTAGGCAAGAGCCATGAATCAGCCACAGGCACCTCTGCCATGCTGATGGATATTCCTGCGACTAGTGCTAATTTCCTGAAAGCCTTTTTCTTCCACAGTTAGTCTCCCTATCAGAAAGATTTTTGCTCCTTAATCTATAATGCTCACTCAATAGTTCCTTGGTGAGGTCACCAACATATTCGTCCACAAGTTCTTGTAACTGGAAGTGCTGGGAATGAACACAGTTATGTATAATGGCTGGAGGGAGTTGCAAGGCCAGAGTCCCACCACAAAGACTGTTCCCAATGTATAGATGAGTAGAAGCAGGCCATGGAAAGCAAGGGCCTACCTGATGACCGACTTGAGAACAGGCTCTGACAAGAACACAAAGCTCCCAGATTCTACCCAGGAGAGGCCCTTGTAGCACTGATGGAGAAAGAAACACTGTGCTGGTTAACCCCAGCTGTGACCTTTCCTATTCTGCCCTCTCTGTCTGCTACTTAGGGAACTTTCAGTTCCTCCCCTTCATGTCCTAGACATAGGTCCATCCTTCTAGGGTTCCGATTATCCAGGGCTAAGAAGAGATGGTCTTAGAAGGGCCTTGAAGTGGTGCTTCCCAACACAGCCCTCACTGCACCTTCTTCAGCTCCTCTTTCTTTCCCTGGATGCTTCCCTGAATCTCAGCATTTTTTTTTTTTTTTTTTTTTTTTTTATCAGGTTGGAAGTCCCAGCCGGGCCTCAGGACCTCATGCAACCTACAGGCCTCTGGAGGCAAGGACTGATCTCTCTTGGGTCTCCTACAGTCTATAGGTGAGTGATTCAGGGTGTGCAGGGGAAGGACCCAGACGAGGAGTCCATTCATTCACTTCCCAGTGGTGAGGGTTTGGGGCTCCGTGCTGCCCACCTCATTGCATTGGGGGCATGGACCAGCAGCACCCGCTGTGGGTTTCCAAAGCCTGGCGCCTGCTAGCCCAGACCTAGAGAAGCAATGAGGGCCCTAAGAAAGCTAGAAGTCAGACCAGACACTGTGTGAGTGCCAGGGTGGCAGTCCTATGACTGGGGCGGTCCTGCTAGCTAGCTGCTGCAGGATGAACTATGACCAGTGCTGAGGCACAGGCGGTGGGAGGCTCAGGAGTCCTCGCAGGGGGGTCCGTCGCCCCCCGAGGGTGGTCCGCGCCCCCCCCGCCTCCCCCACC